ATAAATAATAATATTAATATAATAAATCACAATAGAAGAAAAAAAAGAGAAGTTAGATTTTAAAAAGAAATTTATGCACGCCTCACCCTTATCTAAATTTTCTCTATATTAAATTCTATAAAATTGTCACATTAAATGTCATTATTAAAATTTCGCTAATTATGGCTATAAATTGATCATTACAAGATAAAATAATCATAAAAAATTTTTTTATCAAATTCAGTCTATACCTTGAATTTGAGAAAAAATTTTTTTATGATTCAAATACATCATTAATAATTAAAACTCAAGCTACCATAATACTTGAGAATCCAACTGATTTTTCATAGAAATTTTATAAAAAAAATACTAATAAATGTAATTATCAATTTTTCGATTAGGGTGCAATATTAAATGTTCTAAATTATTTAGATTTCTTTTCTTTTATCTCACCGGATCACTTAATGAGCTTACAATTTAAGATAATGGTACAATATATAATTATTCTTTGTATTGGGGGAGTATGAAAATTAAATACAACTTAAAATGATCTTAAATTATTAAGCAGTTATATACCTGACAAGGAAGAATAAGAAATGAAGGATGATTAATTATTCTTTGGGAGAGCTTAAGAATAATAAAATTATCGCGAAATTAATTTTCTGAATAATTTCCTGGAAAATTTTCTTAAATTAATGGAAAATTATCATTTAGTCCTAATTATAAATTAGATGGAACTTGCAGTATTCATTTCCATCGGATGTGATAATTGTGATTTTTGTCATAATTGTGAAGGGAGATGTAAATAATAAAAATTCATTATTATTCTTAATATTTTGCTCTGTATATTGTCGAAAAGCTACTACTTAAACTGATGTAACTTATATCGATTGAAATTTAGCAGGATTTCAGTTTGATCTACATTAATCTTTTCAAAATTATCTCTATGGGTTGAAATAAAGACCGGTATTTCGAGGAGAGTTAAGAGTCAGTCAGGCTGAAGCTAAAATAAATTATGAGCCTCTGTTTTATGGAAATAACAGATTCATTTAAAAGGAGATTTCCTGGATGGATCTGCCATAGATGATTATTATTATCCAGCATAATATTTCTTATTTGACTATAGAATTAAATTCTTAATATAATCAATGTAATTTCTTTGGATATTTAATGATAATATATAAGGTTTATTCAATTATTCCTATATTTTGGAGTCAACATCTTTTGATAATTTTTTCTCATTTAATTTGTACAATTTACGATATATTTTTATTAGTTTGATTTTACCTTATAGTTCTAATATATTTAATATATTTTTATAATAAGTAATTCAGATAAATAGAACAAATTGACAAATCATCTTATCAATCATATTGAATGTTAAACTTGCCAGATTTACAGAATTAATCAAACAATATTTTTTTTTGGTTTCCATCTTTTCTTGAACTTATGCTTTACTGTCTTCTTAATTAGAAATACTTATTATTTCTTGATCCATCTTATCAATCTTACCTCCTAGTTAGTTACTGATTTTCAAAAGTCAAATGATATTATTTTGGTGATTTTATATATAGATATTTTTAAGTATGCTATATTTTCAGCATTCATGCATTAACTTGTCTCTAATATTTCTTATTCAAAAATTAGATTCAAAATTCACTGATTTGTCCATGAATTTCAAATTGTTATTAACTTCTTTTTATAAATTGTGTTGATAATGGGGTTTAAAAGAAGAAGAGATGAATACATTAATTGGATTAAACTCAAAAACCGCAAAAAAATATATATAGATTACAATTCTAATCTCTAAAAATTAATTGATAAAAATAAATATTTCTATATTTTCGATTTTGTTATTTGAAGTTTAAGAAATTAAAACGATTAATCCAAAAAAAAAGAGGAGTTTTTTTTTTAAATTTTTATTGACACTATTAAATATATTCATAATTAACAATTTACAATTTAAGAGTAATCATCAAATAATTGCAATTAATTATTTTACTTAATATATGGAAAATGTTTATTTTTTATTTTAGACATTTTAAATACTCATATACAATTAACAGCACTGTTCTATAAAAAATACCCATTTTTATAATTCATATTTACAACAATACTTAATCAGATGCATTTTTAATGATCAATTTGTTTTTTAAATTCAAATATAAATGTTTTATTGTTTACTATGAAGATTTCATAAGCAAGCAAATTTTTTTTTTAATTACTTAATTTTAACAGAATTTTCATAAAGAGGAAAAAGTCTTGTTATATTGCAGTAGTTTTGTTAGAAATCAATTGTAGAATATATATTAATGGAGTATGAAAGGAGGAATGGTTAGATGCATTTGAAGCTAAACACACTCATTTCCATAATATAAAATAAAATAGCATCATTTTCTGTTTGAAAAAAAGCTATTAAAAATGAATTTATATTAATTTAATCAAAAGATTCGAAGATATGAGAAATACATTTGCTTTGATATTTGAAATCTCAAACAAAGGTTTTGATAATTCGGAAAACCTTTTTTCGTCAGTTTCTAATAGATTATGATTAGTAGTAGAATATAAAGCTTAATATTTAATAATAGAAATTCAATAATTTAAAAAAATGGACTAGAAAGAAGATCTGTATAATATTTTAGCTTCATCAAAAGACTTAGACAATTATATATACAAGGAAATAATTGAAATATTGAGAAAAGAAAATGTCTCAGATTGTTTAAAATATCTTTCAGATGATGAAAATCTCTAAAATTGTTAATAATCCATTTTAAAAGCAATGGATCTAACTGTTGTCGATTCAGAAGATGTAGCGAAAAATAAAATGATGATACTGATGAATATTATGAAATTCGTTAAAGATCATGACTTTAATGAAAAAAATTATTGTACAGATGTTTAGGAAGAATCTAGAAAAGTTCTAATTTAAAAAATATCAAAAGACGAGTAGATTATCTAATTGTTAAAATTTTTAGTTCAACTCACGACTATTGACAAAAATTTCATTTAAAGTGGGTCTAATGGACTTAATTTATTAGTAAGTATGAAAGTAGATCTGACGAATCAATGCTTTGAGAACATCAGGATCAAAAATACTTCTTTGATAGGCGGAAATTTCGTAAGATGCAATTTCAATGGATCGGAATTTGACAATGTAGACGTGAGCGGAGTAAATTTAAATGGAGCTCTACTTTTTAATTGTAAATGGAAGAACATTAGAATCCATGAGCTAAATTAATTGCAAGGACATGATGGACATGTGTACACAGTCTGTTTCTCCCCAGATGGAACTACACTAGCATCTGGTAGTGATGATAGGTCTATTCGTATTTGGGATGTTTAAACAGGATAATAAAAAATCTCATTGATTGGTCATAATGATGATGTCAACTCATTATGCTTCTCACCAGATGGAATTACCTTAGCTTCTGGTAGTGGAGATAACTCAATCCGTTTATGGGATGTTAAAACAGGATAATAAAAAGCTTAAATGAATGGTCATAGTTATAGCCTCTAATCAATATGCTACTCACCTGATGGATCTACCTTAGCTTCTGGAAGTTGTGACACCTCAATCCGTTTATGGGATGTTAAAACAGCAAAATAAAAAGCTTAATTCATTGGTCATAGGGATTCAGTCTTATCAGTATGCTTCTCGCCGGATGGAAGTACCTTAGCTTCTGGTAGTGACGATAATTCTATCTGTTTATGGGATATTTAGACTAAATAATAAAAAGCCATATTTTTTGGTCATACTAGTGGTGTCTGGTCAGTATGCTACTCACCTGATGGAACTACCTTAGCATCTGGTAGTGAAGATAAATCCATTCGTTTATGGGATGTTAAGACAAGATAAACAAAAGCCAAATTGAATGGTCATATTCATTCAGTCTTATCAGTATGCTTCTCACCTGATGGAACTACCTTAGCATCTGGTAGTGAAGATAAATCCATTCGTTTATGGGATGTTAAGACAAGATAAACAAAAGCCAAATTAATTGGCCATAGAAATGATGTCAACTCATTATGTTTTTCACCTGATGGTAGTCTTTTAGTTTCTGGTAGTGACGAT